CTCCACAACCTCCCTGGGCAGCCTGTTCCAGGGCTCTGTCACCCTCACAGTAAMGAAGTTSCTCCTCACCTGGAGACGGAACTTCCTGTGCTCCAGCTTGTGGCCATTACCCCTCGTCCTRTCRCTGGCCACCAGTGAAAACAGCTTGTCCCCTTCCTCCCTGCATTCTCCCTTCCTGAACTCATACATATTAAGTCTTGCTTTCTTTCCATTGCTATGCCTTGGGCAGCAACTAAGCACCATCTTTTGCAATAAACTGTAATCTTCTACCCATTATACTGCTTTAAGAGCAAAATGACCATTATCCTGAATTCGTAATACATTTGTTTTAAAATATGTATCTCTATCTCAATGTTCTTTTTAGTCACTCAGCTACTTGATTTCTTTTTTCTTTTGTGTCTGATCCAAGCCTGAATTCAGCCAGTGTGGAATTATTACCGAGTAAGAAGCCAAATCATTTCAACGTTTTTGGAACTTAAGAAGGGTAGGGAAAATTACTTCTCAAAAATAACATGTACAACTCTTTCAGTACAGCCCTGCTCAACATACATACCCGGACAGTTAAAAGTTTTCCATGGAAATAATTTTCAAAGAAACTCAATATTCACTAAATTGATTTGTGACTCTTACTACATTAGCTTGATCTCTATTTGAATGTTATGTCAAATATCAAATTACCTGTTTTACATAGAATAGAAAGCTGATGAAACTCATTTATATGTCCAGTATTTCACTTAGTGCAACACTAGTCAAAAACAAACACAAAACCGTAGCATGTAGCCTTCAGAGAGATATTGCCCATAAAAATCACCATTACAAATTCTCTCTTCCTTCATAAAACTCTGCCTCTGCTGAGTAGTATGGGCTGATCATACATTTGTATGACTTGGCATGTCTTTGTGCCCCCTGTTTGCTGTACCAGTGGGCATGTAAATAACTGCTGGTRCCTCCCTGCTGATCCTTTTCTTACAAAAATGTTAATTTGAATCTCCTTTGAATCTTACAAAAAATGTTCAACACTCAGACTTWAAAGTTACTGGCTATATGGAATTCTGCTGGGGAAGGGCAAGAAACTCAAGTAAATGAAACTAAATATACTTTTGTATGAGGTCTAACCCAGTGGGGGGCCCTGAACACTACCATAATAGCAAACAATACCATTAATAAATAGCTGAGATGAATGAAATTACAGTTGCACTAGCTGCTTTAGGAAAAGTGGATGGAAAGTTTGTGGAGATTGTGGCCACTGAAACACTCTTCAGCCTTATTTCCTGGAGAAAGTCCAACGTAGCTGAACACTGCTTTAAATAACTGTGGTCTAAATCTTCCTTGCAACTTCAATTATTACAAAATGCCTCTTACCTCAAACACATTCTGGGGGGAGGATACACTTCACTGATTGTGTTAAGGAGCTCTGGTGATAAGGAAATGGCATAGGAAATAACTCAGAGTTCAGAAAATTTAACTGGGCAGCTTTAGACATTTTCACTTAATGCCCACCTGTAGATTTGGTGGAAGCAAAGGCGGCAGAACTAGATGCAGGTCTACCCCATTTCAGTTTGCAACACAAGCTTTAACTGCCTGTTAAGGTTTAGGTGAGACTTAGCTAAAAAAAAAAAAAAAAATGTTATAGAACTGTAGCAATACAAATGTATCTGAACCTGCAACAACTTCAGAAATAGACCACTTTTAATACAAGATAATCAAGGCTTTGATTTTACTAATCCAACAAATCAGACCGTGCTTCTAACAATGCAGTTAAAAAAACAAACACCCTCATTACCTGTCTTTATAGAAAACAGACTCATGTGGCCAACTAACTTCTGTTTCTTAAGTATTTATGCCCTAAAGATTTTGTTTGTAGTCTTTATTACTTATGATGGCATAATTCTGGTTGATATTAATACAAAACAGAAAAAAGGCTGCTCCCTCAAGCCCCAGAAGTAACAAAGGGATTTCTTGTCAGCTTTTCCTACAAGTTGTGAGCACTCTAGAGAAGTAGAACTAGTATTTTTTTTAAAGGAGAGAGACAAGGAGTGTATTTTGTGAATACAGAGAAAAGCAGAACATCACTAGTGCCCTGTGCATTAGCAAAGTCACGAAAGGCTGCTCCTGGCATTTGAATATACACCCCCATGAAGCATCCTATGTATACAGCTGTCAAAGCTCAGGATYGCCTGCCTTGCTCTTGGTAAATACAGTACTGCTAATATAATTGTTTCCTCCCGCTTGACACAGTAACAGCAAGTTACGTTAATACCAAATCATTCATGGCAAACTGTATCATTCCCTTAGGAAGACGTGTCTGATCTGAAGTATAACACAAGTCAGTGCCTTTGTACTAACCAACAGCTGCATCCTTACCCATAGGTCTTAGAACAGGACCCAGCCAGCAACAACAGCTGTTTGTGAGAGATAATTCGGGGAGACATGATGCAACAGCAGACATGGCACTTTGTAAGCCTGAGGTACGCAGGAGAATGGGAGACCCTCTTAACATTCTAGTCACTGTAAAGGGCAGCTCTCAAAACACACCAGCACTGTTCCAGTTGCACTGCTCGAGCTAATGATGCAAGAGGAGAGGCTTAAAGTTTAAAAGCTATGTCTGTTCTTCCTAGAAATTATACATGTTCTTTTAGAAGACAGTACCTTTCCATATGGACTTTTTGCTTCACTTACCTTCATAACGTGTAGGTTTCTGTACCTACCTGTCCTTTCTGGAAAAGGCTAAATTAAAAAAAAAAAAAAGTTAGATTCCAGTCCATTTATTATGAATTCAAATATTCTCAGAAAGAAGGGGGAGAAGCTGAGAGTAGAATAAGCAATTGAGAACAGAAAATAGAGARGAAAATATGAGAGGAACAGTTCAACTTAGGGGGAAGGAACTAAGATGACCCTTCCACRCAGCATACAGTCATGGCTAATTATGGAGGGACATGTAGATAGGAAAGATGCACTGATGCATGCACACTGAATTATGTAAATCATCATTACTTTATCATGCAAAAAAAATCCTGCAGAAATTCACTAATATTTTTGGTGTCACTCAAGGTTTCTTTAAGGAGTCTGATTGTCAACTTGGTCTCCTGAAACCAAGAAAATGTGAATTTAAAATAAAAAAAAAGTAACAACAGAAACACATACCTGTTTTTTTCTGGGTTTTTCTCTCCTCCAAAGAGCAATGAAGGTACTTGYAAATGCTCTCAAGTCAATGCTATATGGTATTCTGCTAACAGTTACCCTGTTATTAAAGGTGTAAGGCTTTGCACTGCATGTTCAAAAAAAAAAAATAGACCTTCTATGCAAAAGCAGAATTGTGTGAGAAAACATCAAGGAGAATGTACTTAAATACCTGGCAACATTAAGACATGCTCCCAGGCAGCGATTCAGCTCTTGCTCTGAAAGTGGCAAAAACTGTTTTTGACCTCCTGACTTTGCTCTTCCAGGGGGCCATCCTAATCACAAGGTTTCTGATGGAAAAGGAGAGAATACAGCTTCTTATCTGGGTAATTCTGTGGAGGAAATCCAGCATAAAACAACAATCAAAACGCTATTTTCAATAGAAAAATAGTAGCTGAAAAACCTGCTCAGTTCTAATCTAATCCCCGTCTCTCACAGGTGAGCTGAGAATAGAGACAGCTAAAACAACCATCACTTCCGAACCTGGAGATCGTTTCTCAGTTTCCAAACAGAAATGAAACAGATTGACTGCCAGATGTGTGCACAGGAACATGGCAATGCAACACAAATATCACGATTAGCAGAAATCTTTTTGACACATTTTCCTACAGATTTTTCTTTCTTGTGAGCATGATGCAGAAAGGTAAAACTGCTGAGTGTTGAAGAGCTTTGTGGGACTGGAAGCAATAATCCCATCTTGTGTTCTGGTTCTTTTACAATCAAGTTGGAAATAATCATTTCCAACCAAGGTAATTGTAGCCTATTGTTTACAAAATATATTGTAATTTATGACTTTTTCTCCTCCCCTCCTTTTTTTTTTTTTTTCTTCCAGTTTCCCTTTCAGCACAAATTCACTTCAAGGTAACACAGTATACAACAGAAGCATTAGTGATGAACTAGAGGAATAAAAAAAATCTGGTATCCAGGTCAGAAATTCCTAGACTGTTTAGTCCAAATGATATGCTTAAAATTGATTCAGTTTCACCAGACTTAGCTCTGGTTTATCTCAGTAATTCAGACTATCTACACATACTTCTGCTACATCTGTGCTCTTAAATACGTATTTTTTTCTTTTAAAATGCAATTCTTTTCAAAGAAAAAGACTGACAGCATGAAAAGCTAAGGTTTCACCTTCAGAACAGACAAAACAGAAACCCTATATGTTGCCCCACTCATGACCTCTAGAAGAGAGAAGAAAATTAATTCTACCAAGCAAATATAAAGTATATTAAAAAAAAAGCAAATACAAAGTAAATACAAAATAATACAAATACAATGCAAATACAAAGAAATTCTTCCTTTCAATATAGTGGCAAGTGGAAGATGCTACTCACCTGTAAAATTAAGTATGAAGCTGATGAAGCAAGCAGTTCTTCAGGAAACCCTTAGCTATCCCTAAATCCAGTCAACGATGTCCATCAGCATACTTTAGAAAACTGGATTCTAAGTTCTAGGAGAGAACCATTTTCAGCAAGCGCTACATATTTAAGTAGTTACTCCATTTATTGTGGAAACACAGGAGATGCAACATAGCTTTAACATACTCCCACTGAAAAAACTATTAATTTCATCTGAAATTCACATCATTTATTGTGGAAATGCTGCAGACACAAACACGGATTTAAACACTTCCACCATCAGAGAACATGACAAGACAACAAAGCTCAAAACAATACAGTGGCTCTTAAAGCTAGTAAAAGGCAGATGCCATTTCCCAGAAATGAAGGAAGGTAGGCTCCACTGGAGCCACTTCTGTACTGAATTTTTCCTTTTGAGTCGGTGGTATACTGAAAACCCAGAGCCCTTAAGTTATTTTCAGTGGTGTTTTTTTTTTTTTTTTTTTTTTTTAAACCAATTGCTCAAGTCCAGGAATCTTTGAATCTTTGGCACAGGAATTTTCCTTTGCTTTGTGACAAGATTACTCAGTCGTTCATTCTTAACTAGGCCACTGTTTTCACAGACTTCATTTAAGCCTACTGCGTGGCATTTCGCCGGAGTGCGGTGCTAAGTRTGCTCGAGTCCCAAATTCTATGCTGACAGGAGAACAGCATCAGGATATTGCACCAGTTCTTTTTATTCTACTTTTATCTAACAAGACTGTTATAGAATTACTTTTCCTTGTTATGCCCTGCACTGGCCTTATTTTAATACATTTACACTGACAAGCTGACATACATCTACAAGCAAGAGGAAAGAATAACACAGTATCAGTTAACAGACAATAATTGTACTGCCAAATTCAAAGTTATGTGAATATAAACATCCAGACATTCCATTTCTAGTTCATTTTACACTGCCATGATGTAAACCACACATTTGCACCGATTCTTTGCACAGATGAATAAAAATAAGGCCTATGAACAGTAACACAGGGCTTACTCTGTCACAACCACTTATTTTACTTCCTCATGGCTCTGTAGCTATTGTGAAACTGCRTTCTTGAAAAAGCAAGGGTTTATATATTGAAAAGTTGTGCATAAAAGTGAATAAAACCATCTGTGCATTTCTTAGACTTCAATTAAAACACTGGCCAAAATATAAAAGACTGTAGAAAACTAGAAATTTTCCTAAYATTTAAACACCATACATATCAATCTTACTATGGAAATAAAAGCACTGTTTTTTGTGTACAATTTTCTGTATTCCATTCCTCCTTCTACTGCTACACAATCACTTTTTCCTTTCATTTTAGTATCAAACATCCTCCTACTCATTACTTCAGAAAAAAAAGTATTAATTAAAATTTGGAAGGAAATTGAGCCTAGCTCATCATTTTGAAGTGTTAATTCTCTSATCATATATTTGATATCAAGTCCTAACGTGAAGCCATCCTATTATAATTCAAGTAGTTTCTTGTTAGGAAAGAACATATATACGCTGTCAATGATTTCCAGTACAAAAGATACACAGATAAAATAGTTAAACCAAAAAAGCTCTGAAGGCTTCTCGCCATCAGCAGGAAAGGCACTTTTCTGGACACATAATTCTAGCACACAGGGATTCAGCACAGCTTTGGTACTTCAATGTCTCCTTCAGTTTCTGTGCAAGTGATAACCACTGACTGCCCAGTCCTGAACTTCTCCACTTCCAAACAACGCAAAGAAAATTGCTCCAAATAAATTAATAGAAGCAGCAATATAGAAAACAGTCTGCCATTCTCCCACGGTATTCTGTCAAAGGGGAAGAAAAAACAGGCAGTCAATTAGCAGCTCTAAATTCATAAAAAAAGAATTTCTAAAACAGATGCTGCATGGCCTGCCATTTTACATGTAAATGCTCTACAGCATCATTTCATATCAACATAAACGCATTTTAAACATAAAAGATCACATTGCCAGTTGAGTCCAGTTTAATAACCCACCAGACACACAGTGCTACCAAAACGACACTAGATACTCTGGAGCAGTTTGTCACCTCAGATGCACAATCCTCACATCCCAGTTCAGATTTGCAAGACCTCTACACAGACACGCAGAGAACATTAACGTAATGGGAAACACTGCCGGGCCTTCAGGTCAGCTGGCTCGAGAGCAGACGCTCTCCCTACACTAAAGAGCAAGTTAATGGCTACGAGTGGAGTTTCCAGACTCATCAGCATTTTGGATATATGTGAATTTTGCTCAAACAAGATACTTATCTTTGCTCTGATTTCAATGAGAATCTGCTGAAATTGGCATTTTTTAATAATATTTAAGACATGCACAGTGCTTTTTATATAAAAAATAATATATGCAGTTATTTTAACGCTTTACTTTTTTTGAAATTGCTGCTGAGCACTTTCTTAAAATATTTTAGAATAACTCCTATAGTTCATTTAAAATGCAAACAACTCACTTCTGCCTTTAAAACAAACAAACAAACAACCCAAACCCCACACCTTTAAATCATACTTTCTGTCCAACTCTACCTTTTGGAGGTCAAACTTAAGAGTTACTGTTCAATTTAAGTTTTGGGAAACTAATATACTTCAAAATGTTCTGAATAGCTAGAATACTAGAATAGAATGTTACAAAAACTATACGTTTGAATCTAGTTTCTTGTTCACCTGACAAATGATGACCTTGCAACTAAACAGCTTATTTGGGAGACTGATTTTAGAAAAAAAAATGGAAGAGCCTGTCTTAATTCGACAAAACAATTCTACAACTGTCTTGTGTAGCTGGAATTTTAAAAGAATTCTAATGTGTAGCAGAAATGTGCAAGTCTTCCTAGAACACACGGACTGAGTCACTAAAGTTCTGAAGTCCTATACACACATATCCTTGGTTTTACCTTCATTTACATTCTGAGATAAAATACAGAAAAAAACCCAAACAACCTCCCCCCAAAAAACAACTGTAAGTAGACTTACATTATGAGTGAGGTTCTTGGCAATAACTGGTCCCACCATTCCTGGGATGGTGCCAAATGAATTTGTGATTCCAAGGAGGATTCCAGCATACCTGTAAGAGAAGTTTAATGAGCAGCGGGAACAATTTATCCTGCTTATCAGCTATGGAAGCAGTTTTGTCTAATCAGATCATACAAGCCTCATCTTGATTCAAGTAGGGATCACCTGTACATAGCCTAACTGAAACTCAGCACCTGTTTATATTCTCCAGAGGCCAGCAACAGAATTCAGCTTAACTACTCACGACTTTGCTTAGGACCTATAATCCAAAAGCACATGCTAAGCCACAASCAAACTCTCTGGAATGCATCCGCTGGAGAAATTAAGAAGCAAAGATTGCATGCCTTGAAGAGGAAAGGCAACAATGAGCATGACAAAGTGCAGTCTGGCAGTAGTAAGAACAGATATAATTGCTAAGAAGTGTCTGCCAAAAGGCAGTATCACTCGTCTGGATGGATATTCCCACTCCCACTGCAGTCCAGGCTCCAGAGGCCTGAGTCAGCAGAGCTCTGCAGCGGTTGTTCCCTTTGGCTTTCTCTGGCTCAGGCTTTGAATGCCAATGGGAAGCGGGCCTGGCTCATCCCATTTTGCTGGTTGCCATTCTTGCAGCTCCACTCTGAGGCTTATATAAGATTCCCTGAACAAGAAGATCACACACACACCTCAACAGCTATAGAAACTTGCTGGGAAAACCTGGTAACTTGCTCAACATCCAAGCCTCTGCCTCTCACCTGTGGGCAATTAAACATCTCACAGGAGAATTGCGAGGAGCATTAGAGTCTGTAGCACAAGCACAGACTTGTGAGAGAGTCTGAAGAGAAACAAGACCTCGACATTTTATACGCTGAGCTCAGCCTTCCAACACCAGAGCACAGATCCCTGCAGTTCAGATTTTCATTTTGGATTTTCTGGCTGAAGAATCATAGAAAATTTTAAGATCAGCTGTAGTTTACTAAAGGAGAAAAAGTATCACCCAGTGATTGAGCTGTTTGGAAGAAAGAAATCTTGTATTCACAAGAAAAATTGTGTCTCTAAAGTATTTTTGATTTTTTTCATTTACTAAAACRGAAGAATCCAAAAATATCATTGGTATAAAAGGTTGAGCTCTGTGCTTTCAGTCCAGTAAGATTAGGAAAACATATGTTTCCTGAGAAAGTTATTAAATTAATCGTTTTTCCTTGAAAGTCAACACCCATATCAGTTCAAAATATGGCAATGTATTTTAGACTGAACTTCACTATTGCAGTTACAGTGCAATATGTTTCTTAAATATATATAACATAAATATATATATATAACATAAATATATATATATAACATAAATATATATATATAACATTTATAATGCTTTTGGCATGTTGGAAATGCTTAAAAATTAAAAGTAAAAGCATCCTTACTCACCTAAGAATACAGAACGACTGTTTAATGGCTTTACATAAAAATAAATTTATTTTTGTCTTTGATGTGTTCAGATACTACAATACCATTCATCCAAACTGCTTAGTTTGGAACGTGTGTGAGTGTCTAGGGGGCCTGGATCATTGACAATTCACTGCTGGCCAAATGTGGCTGCTTTTGCCCAGCATTTCTGACACGGCTGCATTCTCGATAAGCTCCSTGTTGGATGCAGATAGCAGCTACGCCCCTCTCACGGCAGCACGGAGACTCCTCTGGGTCCYGGGAAAGAGAAGAAGGACCCATCTAGAGAGCAAGAGTAACGAGCAATCTGGTCCTCTCATGACACTGGGAGTGTAAGTGAATGTAAATGGAGCTGAGGTAGTTACAAAGACAGGTTTGTAAAGTGTAGAGCCAAGGGAATAATATAAGGCTTCATGGTGACATGCCTAAATTTACAACAACGTTGTCATGATTATAATGTTCTTAAGATAAATTGGAATAGGTTTCCCATGCACAAACTTGTCTACCCCCAACAATTCAGTGCGCTGGTAGCACAAGAAATGTGTGTTAGGAATAAAAAACACACAGCAGCTATTTTTTCCTCCTCAGTATCAGTATTTTCATTCACTTTTTCCTGGGAATATAAATATTATTTCTTTGAAAATTTCCACTGCAAGNCTGCAAGTTATTTTTTTTTTTTTTTTTTTTTTTTTTTTAGCAACAAAGGGCCCTTTGCTATTCTAATCCACATATTTCCCCTTACAGTGGGCATGAAAATGTATTGTGAAAGTGCTTTGAATTGCTTCTCGATGTTCTTAATGTATGCAGAGGCTGTTCTCAGCTTTTTTTTTTTTTTTTTTTAAATCCACAATTATACCAAGCTTTTCCTTGAAACTGTGGATATCTGCCTGGGCCATTTCAGCCATTAGAGTTCAGACAGACCCAAAAACCTCAGCAGGGAAAAAAGGGAAAAAAGAAAAAAGAAAAAAAAGAAAGAGAAAAAGACTCTCCTCTTGTATTGGATGTTCTGGTAGTTCCATATTTGAAGTCAGTTTTCTGTGTGATCTTTGTTATAATGATATTCCCTTTTCCTTCTCTGTCTCCCTTTGGACAGATTTCCCCAAATTAAAGCTTGAATGTGCTGCATAGAAAGTCACTGATTTCAAGACAACAGCATCTGCTCTGAGCACGTTGCAGGGCAGCTTCCCTGCAGATGCAGCCGCTCATTTGTGYGGACAGCGCTGGGCAAGAGGCCCTGAGCAGAGAGCACGAGACCTGCCTCTCCTGTATCCACGACCAGTCTGCTCCCTTTTGCCCATGTGAGAGGACAGAGGAGTGAAAAACTCGTCTGCCTCAAATGTGAAGGGAATAAAACCAGGACTTTGGGGAGGATGGAAAGAGCAGAGCAGGATGAGGTCAGGTGACCGTCAGCATTTGATGTGGTTAACCAAATTACGCCTGCTTAGCTGGTACAGCATTAGTGCTGCTCCACATGATTATTTTTAATTCTTGTAGCTTTTTGGAGCACATAAGATACTGTGTACACTCTCAGATACAAATTCCCCCCTGAAATAAACATATCAGGACTGCAAAGTGAAGCACTTCCCCAGTTAGAGCACATGCTCCCCCCCGCCCCCAGATCTGGAAACCTCTGCTGTCACCTGCGTACAAGACCCTGGCTGTGCACCTCCCTCCTGAGACACTGCAGCTGCAGTTCCCTTCTCCTGCTACAACTCTGGTGCAATCAGAGCACAGGATGGATGTGCTCATTTACTGAGCAGCATTTAATATTGTGYTTCACTCTGCATGTGCATGAACTCAGGCCTTACTTCCTGCATACTATTCAATTACTACAAGCAGAGTCTCCCAAAGGCTTTCCAGTGGAACTCCTCACAGACACTGCTTTATTTTCATAACACTCTAGAGGGATGAGATGACAATACAGTATGCATCCCACTGACATGAAATGAAAACACAGGCCAAGAATGTGTACTCCTACTGGATGCTTGATTTGACATCCTCAGGATCTGAATTCAAGGGCGTTTAACAACACGCAGTACTTCTTACATTCAAAGAATAAGACCCAAAGTGCTGCAAGCTCTCTTTAGAGATTACGGGAGCCTCTGTCATCCTCAAAGTGCCCATCCCTTTTCAGGACTAAGGAATCCTWAACAGCCCATGCTCTCGAAGTCAGTGGATGTGAACACTGGCCTCTGAGACAATCAGAGAAATGTCTGATCCAACCAACTTACCACATATGAACTCCATTGCAGAGCAGTAAAAAGACTGTATTCCAAGAGCAATGCTCAGCTACTTTCAATGCTTTCTCCTTTCCTCCCTACCTTTCTCCTGCAATGCCTGGCCCAAACTGCYACATGCTTTGCAGTTTCTGCAGCTGCCAGGCAGAGGGCTTACACACATCGATTTCCCTCTCTATACAACACTAAAATATTTTTTAGAGCAGGATCCATCCTATAGAGTGAATAAAGAAAAAGCCCTAACCAGGGAAGCATTACAACAATAACAATGACATTGCAATGCATACAGAAAGAGAGAGAATTCAAAATCAGACAGCCATCTAAATTCCACCATTGAGTAAATTACACTAGTAATGTCTTTCAACATTAATGCTTATAGTTCACATCAAAATAAAAAAGACATCAAACTTCATCAATGCTTCACATTTTAAGAAACAGTTTTACAAAGTCAAGCTTGAAATAGAAGTTGCATAATGCTCCCCTATTTCCCCAGGTGCAGTGCTCCATCTAGATGTTCTTCATCATTTATAATTTTTGATTTGAAACACATTGCACCACAGAGCCACACCTTCATATTCATTCATAGGACAAGCTGTTCACAGTCAAAATGTTTTTCTTTCTTCAGTTCTTATAGTAGACACTCAAACATTTCTTTCCCCATGACCTCTAACTTTCCCCTTAGCAAGATCCTAGGAGCCATCCTTTCCTCTTTCAAGATACTGCTGCATGTCTTTACATAGCGTTAGCTTCCCTGACTATCCTTCCCTGGTTCTATTCAGCTCCTCTTAATTTCCCTTCAAAATCTTCTTCCACTTGTCCCTTGAAGGACCCTCAACATCCACTTCAGCTTTCTAATTGGTTTTGCTGCTTCTTTACATCCTTCTTGCTTGTTACATAATCTCATCTGTAAAGACTAATTCAATTGCCATTATTTCACACTAATTTTATTCAATAGTGACCTGTTTCTTCAACCTCTCCTTCCAGATGACTATCCATCATCTTTGAAAAAAGAATCTAAAGGAAGAAAGCTCTTCCTTGGAATCAGGAATTAGGATTTTTCAATCTTTTCAATGTTTTGCCCATAGATACAGGTTTTCATCTCCACTCAGTTAAACACATGTTGTCTTAGTCATTACTAAAGATACATTTTTTTCTTTTCCTTTTGTCCTTAAAAAGTCATATTACCCTGTTTGTGTCTAAGTACTACTGCAGATAGGTAAATTAACCAAAGTGCTTGGCTTTTACCAGGATAAAGAATATTATGGAGCTTTTCAAAAGAATACATAAGGACTCCTAAAAGAATACATGCATAACCTTATTTTCAAAGAAACACCTCAGGCTCTGAATTTGAAACACACTAGGGAAACCATCAAAACTGAAGGCTAAATTCCATTTTGAAAAGTTATTTAAGAGTAATTGCTGGTACGGGAGCCTCTGTCCATTGATAACATCACCCACTAATAGCAAAATTTTGGCACCAGTCATAGAAGATACTTTCCAAATGCAGTTAACTTATCTGAATGGCAATAAATATGATTATGTTCATGCTACGACTTGACAATTCTAATAGAAAAGCYTAAAGGGGTGAGACATTTAAGTATACTACACTGTTCTATAAACACTATTCTATTATTAGTCAAAAGCCAAATAGGACAAAAATGGTAAATATAATTCCAGGAACTATGTTATTTACAGCTGCAGGATCAAAAACTGTTCAGTAAAAAGTTGTTCATATCATATTCTCTGCCAAAATTGATTTTTTTTTTTTTTTTTTTTTGCAAATAATGTGCTGATAACTCTAAACCTTCCATTATCAATTCCTATAGTCTTATTTGGAGATATACAAGTGACAGAAATCAGGGCCCAAGAAGAAAACAGCAACAATTTTGATCTGAAGATGAACAAAACATTTAAATATGTCTAGTGAATCCCTGTTGAAGAACAAACTCTGAAGAGCTGGCATTCCAAGTCTCCACAGCCTCGTGGTCCACACATCAGGCTCCCAGATACCCTAGCAATACAAAAAGGTGGTTGTGTTTGTACCACAAACCCTAATGAGCTCCAGCAATACTTACGATGGTGCAATGTCCAGGTGGTTAATGCTGTAGCCAGATGTACAAAATCCTCCTAGCGTTGTTGATATGGTCACGAAGGCAACAGCCAGCTCATAGTTACAGCCTGTGAATCCAGCTGCTACTAAGAACACGGCAGGTCCGATCATCCCTTTAAAACAAAATCTTAGAGTCAAGGGACTCTTAATAGCTAGAGAGGCATTAACACGCTCTAAACTACGTATACATTTCCTATGCAGCTTCCACTGCCACCTTGTGAACAAACTCCAGCAGTGTGCTCTGCACATTAAAGGCAGCCTGGGAAAAGGCTATTTGCAAGCAAASGTGTTGCTGTCTGCAGAGGGAGTCGGGCTGCAGACTTTGGCAGGACTAAAAAAAAAAATCCCACTCTGGTTGCTAAACTCAGGCTTTAACTGAACAAAAAAATCACCAGAATTCAAGTGATACTTGAATCACAGAATTTACTGGAATGTGACTTCAAAAGTTAATTTAATGTTATTAACCTGCTGCCCCACCCCAAACAACTCTCCCACCAACTTACAGAAGCAGTGTGGATGTCAGCAGGTGAACACTGTACTGTGAATAAATTACTCGTGTTTAACTTTCCAGTTCTGCAGTTTCCCCACTAATACCACCTAGAACTAGCTGAATTTCTTATTTAAAAGTCGAGCATCTCATACAGCTATACAGCAGCCTAGAGTAGACTGTAGAAACCCCAAAGTTATCTTGGGGACACTACTTGCTGGCAACAGCAGCTCTCAGGAGCGGTTGCTGCTTCTTGTCTGAAGTTAACTTTGGYGCCCATTTCCCACACAAGATCTGGCCAGGTGTGGACACATATCATGACAAAGCCAACCCAAAGCCTGCTGCACAAGCTGCGTGGATCGGGCTGAGAGGCCCCGTAGCCGCGTGGCGCCAGCCTCGGGAAATGCTCCTGGGTTCGTTGGGTTGTTTCACAGCGGGCGATCGAATCGGCCGCAGCCAGCAGCACCCCGGAGTGAGCTGCACCTCGCTGCGCTCAGAGTTAATGCAGAGCCACTAATTGCKAATTTACCTGCTGATTCACATCACCCAGGTCCTGCCCTGCAGCGCCGCTGCCTAATGGCTCTCCCTCGCTTTTTATTTATTTATTTTTTTAGTAGCAATCAACTTCACCTTCCTATATATACATCCTTTGGACTTGTCTTTGGTATAACTCACCCTGACTTCAAATCATCTCCCCTGCCAGGCAATCAGGAAGATTTGGGGTTGTATTTGGCCTGTCTATCCCAGTGGGGACTGAAAACTTCACAAGTTTATTCCTGTTCAATTATTCAAATCTTAAATAAGACAGATATTGAAACACTGGGCAGGAGACAGATTCACATCGACAATATCTCCCTGCAACCCAAAAAAGGCATTCACAACATTATTTTAAGCAATTACCACTATTTTAATAGTAATTTACCTATTCCATTAGTTTGTTTATGAACAGGTCAAAACCTTCATTACAGTCAAAATACAGCAGCCTATGTTCTTTTATCCAGTCAGTCTACTTACTAAGGTTTCTCATCCTAGAAGTGTTTTTTAAGCATTCTAAAAAGATAGCCACAACATTTATGTTGCGCTTTTTCTGTTTACCCTCACCGTTTATGGTTGTTCTCTTTCTGCTTCCCCTCACAAGACAACTARAAACTTCAGAGACTGCAAGCTATACTAGTAAGTACTGTAGTGGATGTTATCTCTGTCCTGYCCACTTGAATACACAAAATTTAGGTAAATTTCTAATTGTTCTTTCATTATGGTAGCTATCAGCTCTTTAATATTGTCAAGCAGCTGTCACAATTGAGCTTTCTTCTGAAAATTGAACCCTAGAAGATACCAAATATTCCACCTCTGTGAGCACTATTCATAATTCTCAGAATTAAGTGAAACACAAGGCATTTATGAACTAGTAGCAAAAACTGTAGCTGACAGTTGGGCAGAGAAGAAGAAAAAAASACCAATACCACACACCGAAATATGGAGTATTTTCAGCTAAGGCAGCCAGACAAGCACCACCCAGGCTTAACACACTTGGATTCAGAGGAATACTGGAAGACAGTATGATGCCTATGGAGCTACATGTCCAGGATGATGCAAACATTTTAGTTTCACTTCCACACCCCAGTGTAATCAATACTACCAAACAGCAGTTTCTTTCAAGCCACGCATAACTGCAGAATTTCACAGTGGGCTCACTACCCTCCCAATGTCTTAATTTTTCCCAGACTGGCCCAGAGTATGTTCCAAACCAAGGAGATACTTGTACCTACCTATTAGGGTAAAAGATTTGCGAACACACACAGTAGACAAGTTCTGTTTCTCCCTTAAGTGATCTGCGATTTGTCCAGACAGAATTATACATAACCAGCAGCCAAAATAAGGTAGGGCAGATAGAAAACCATTCTGTTAACAAGGAAAAAACAAAAGAAAAAGAAGTTTAAACACTGAACCAACACTTTAATGTGCTTCAAAATCACTTGTGCTAAGGCATTAAGACAGACTGAACCATAGGCRTTATGATCATACATCTAACTATTGTTGGTTTTATCACAAAATAAATCTGGGCCTAGAAAAGGCAAGRGAGTCCCAAGTTACTGATGGGTAAACTCTTTATTGTGCAACTTGACCACCAAAGCAACAAGCCTGAAAAAAATGATCACAGGTATAAAWCTGCAACTGGATTTTGGAAAAAGAAAAATATACACAAAGATACTTCATGTCCATTAGCTTGATCCTATGAGATTCCAGATCAGCCATTTCAAATCCTGCAGGTTTTCAAGTGAATTATTAATGTAAGCAGAAGACATTCATAATACTCAGAATTGAAAGTTCACTATAATCAGAGACAACACGGAAGAACTTTCATCATATCCAGTCTGTTTATTATATGATCCCAAAATAAAGCTATTATTCATGACTTGCCATTACGTAATCTGATGTCACCTTCTGTTCCCCATTACATTTGATTAGTGGTTCCTGTCTYGTTCTGATAAGAAACAAGAAGTTCTTGCTGCACAAGTCTTCAGCCTTTCCATTTCATTATGGCTAAGTGTAACTTTGATTAAAAAGAAATCTGGATGGATATTGAATGGTATTGAAGTGTTTTAATTTTTATATACTACTAYATATTATTGTAAAATGTGACTTCAATGAAGAGAGCGTTTCCCTATAACATTTAAAAGGAGAGCACAAAAACACACTGAAGAATCCCCTCTATCAGCAAAGATGCTGCTTGTTGGGTTTGAATGTTCAGTTTTAAAAAGCAGTAAGTAAAAGTAATAAAAAACACAGAAGAAATATCAGTACTAAAAATCATTTTTCTCTGAAGCACTGTTCAAAGATGCACCAGTATTTTAACTGCAGACTCTACAACAGAAACTAGTAGACTGTGCAACTGTTACTGCTAAATATCTTAAAATGCTAATACAATTCCCAACTAAACRTGTGGCAACMAAACTAACCAACACTATTTTGCAAGTGTTTTTCTTGAAGTGTCACAACAGTTAATACTTTGAAATCACTCCAAAAAGAAATATAAACCAGAGACATAGGAAATCACCCCACAGCAGAACTTATTGGCATTTAATGCAGTTAGTGTTTTACCAAGCAAATGCATATAGGGCTGTGGTAGTTAAAGCTTTTATAGATGTTTACTCAGGTATTCTCTTTGGGAGCCATAGCAAGGACAGCAACTTCTTTGATCTAATTTTTTTTTCCAGCCATTTTGTAGCACATCCCATTCTGGCACTCAAAATACCTCCTCTTTCTCCCAACACAGCTGGCCCATCCCTTTCTTGCAAGATGTTCTTCAACAGTTTATTCTATTTACTCCAAATTCTGGAGTAAATTAAACTAGATACTATGCTATACATCTTCAAGGCTCTATGTGAACACTTCTTAATTAACCTATATGAGCTCCTCCAGGTAAACTATGCTATCACAGTCAAGTAATTAACTATGAGTATTCCCTCCTTATAACTGTCCCATTATTTTTTGCCTTGATAAAAAATTCACTTTTTAAAATGCTCCCTGATAAAAAAATCACTTGTAAAATTTTCACCGCCCTCCCCACCCCCCCAAAGAAAAAACAAAACCAACCAACCAAGCAACAACAAAACAACAAACACACACATACATCCACACACATTTCCTGGACTGCAGGTATGTGGTTTAGTTTAGTCATTTCTCCAGAGGAAAATATTTTTCTAGTTATTGTTTTAGATTATAGCAGTTAAAAGACTCAAGCAGGAAGAGCTGGAAAGCTAGTGTTAAAGCTGATAAAGTCGATACAAATATCAAATAAACCCTAAAGCTTCATGGAAATTACAATACAGACAGTATTGAAGAGTTATCCCTTTTGTTGTAAGTATTTATTATTTCCTAGCTATGAATTTATTTTTCAAGAATCTTAAATAAGTTCYTCTGTTCTAAACAGTTCTTATTTATCTCACCTCTTGTGCATCAAACCTCAGGATCTCCTTCATGTATGTGGGCAAGAGCGTAAGCAGAGTATAGAAAGTCCAGTTGTAAGAGAATTGGGCCACGACTATAGCCCAGAGAGGCAGAGACCCCAGGATCCGTCTCCAGGGAACCGATTTCTGTGTTGAAAGCTGGCACGTGGGAGAGAGAGGACATGAGACACAACATATAACTGCGGGTGATTTGAACAACAATCCAAATGAACAGACTGTACATTCTGGAGGCACAAAATAGAGTCTATGTAACAGATGAAGTCATCAGCAATGAAAGAATTGCTGTGGTCATTTTTTCCGCTGAAGGTGTCTTAAGGTATGTTACTGCTCTGTTTACTATTGCAAAGCCAACCAGTTTAATAAAAGTATGCCTTTCCTTGTTTCGATTTGTTACCTCTTGTTTATTCTATCAGCAATGAAATATTAAAGCCCCTACTCATGTTTACTGAGTTCAATCTCTGCTACTCAACCTCATGTATTAGCTTTGATCTCTCAACTAACTTCACAGGTTGGAAATGCATATCTGCAAACACAGGATTAAGAACAAATCCCTAAAACTAATCCCAGGGGTGTTCCCAAAGTGCTTCCTCTAACAACAATCTCTCTCCCTTTACATGCTAGACAATAAATGTATATGAAAAAGAGGAATAAAACTTTGCTTTACAAAATTTAAAGAGATAATAAGTCTATTATTTTAGTTTAAAAGTTCAAGTTTTAAATTTTAATTTAAATGTTTAAGTTTTAAATTTTAATTTAATCCTTTAGATTAAGGATGTTTTTATAGCATTGTGTTAGAAATTACTGAGAATTATGCTGACTCTCATATTTACAGTTTATGTTCTTACTTAAATGACTTAGAAAAATGCTATACCTGATCTTTTACGGAAGAAAGTATATATTCTTTTTCAGCATGAGAAATGCTCCAGTGAGTTTCTGGTGTATCACTAACAAACCACATCCAGAAGAAGAACCATAATACACCAAGTGCACCTATTATTGGGAAAAGATGGATGATGAAGCAGAAATAAAAACAGAAGCAATTATCTTGACAGAGCAGCACTTCCAGATGATTTAAYGAGACAAAATGTTCATTAAAATTGTATTAAAGCATTTGGAAAAAAAAAAGTCTTCCTAAAAAAYAGCTGCTTCCCAGAAGCAGCTTAAAAGCACATACACTTAAAAGCAATAAGCAATAAAGCAGACTAAGCAGGAAGTTGGGTTTTTTTTGTGGCTTTTTTAAAGAAATGCTTCACACAGCAAAAAAAGTTGCCTACATACCAACATTGTATTTTTATCAGTCACATGGAACCATCACAGAGAATATCTCTCTCAAAGAATAAAAATTCACATTAAAATTTAATTATAAAAAATACTAAGTATCATACACACAAAACAATGCTACATAAAGCTTAACTGATATACTAATCTTTTTTGGGCTGAACCCCAGAAGTATTATTAGTAAAAGTTGTTTTTACAATAATTTGTGCAAATCAAGCATACTTATATAATATTTCAACTCTTTACTTCCTCTAATTGTCCATTTTGAGCCTTTTTAGTTAATCAAAAGTTAGAGGGCTTTGTTGAAAAAAATGTAATCCCTTCTATTCTGATTTTTTTCCTTCCCATTTAGAACATGAAACAGCTCAGACATGCACACAGACCTATTAAAAGCTGCACTTAGATCTATGGCATTCTATTAGAAAATATTTTCTGTTTGAGCCTCTTACGGAACAGCATTACAACAGCAACAACTTTTTAGATGTTCTTTCATTTCTAGTAGAAGTCTGTTCCTAGGATTAAAGTTATTAACTCAATTTCACACTTCAAATGAGAAATTGCTCTGTTATTTCCCAGTGGTGGGAGAGCTGAGAGCTGTTGATTTGGACTAGCTTTTGTTCAACTGAGAGACAGCTTTGCTCATTGGAAGCGTAGTTAACACAGCCAGCCTCCGGAATCTTCTTAGTTTTAGATCACTCTAATTTCCCAGGAGAAAAATTAGCACTGTGACATGTCAAACACATCTTTAAATCTTATTTCAAGTTTTATGCAAGAGGTACTAATACAACATGCCACGACTTCTGAAAACTAAGAACTGCATTCTTAAAAAAAAACACTTACCAAATATATAAAACACATAAATCCAATTCATATAGTAGCAAATTAAACCAGACAGTGGCAGAGACACAACAGTTCCCAGCTGTGCACCTACCAGAAAGGGAGAAAAAGATAAAAGTAAAAAACCAAAAATCTATATAACCCTTAAACTCAGTGGCATGTCACAGAGAATCACACTTTTCACCACCAGCAGAGCGCTGCCATTTCACCTTGAAGAAACACAGGCACAAAAAGCTGCTTTGGCAACTCAAAAACATGGACTCAAAGCACTAAAGTCAATTATATACACACACGTATATAATTACAAACAAAAAGTAACAACAGCAGGCAAAGAATGTAAAACAGTTCTTGGCATGTTACAAGTTTCCAATTAAGTAGTGGCCCTAAACATGTTATGGAATGAGAATCATATTCAAAACGCTGCTAGGTGGCAAACTGACACTGTTAGACAAGAAGGGGCTGATCAAAGTACAATTAAGAATTTGTTTTTCCCTGGTAAACATTTCCCAACTTGATATCTTCAGTTTTCATGGCTCATAACCCCTGCCAGCTCAACAGGAGCAGAATGGCTTAATACAAGGGCCAGAAGACACCCAAGTGATCAAGTGCTTCTAATTGTAGTAGCGTTGTAGTAGCGTAGCTTTGTAAGTGCATCAAAGAAAGCAGGAGAAAAACATACTGAACAGTGCCCCCTTTTTATAATCACAACTGSAGGCCATGTTGTATTCCTATTTTATTTATTTATCTTTAAAACAACTGCCTCATTTCATCTCAGTTGCACCAAAACAGTCATACAGTGAGTAAACATAGCTGCTGCAGCTAGAAATTAAGAGATATTTGCTTGGCAGAGGAATTTTTTTTCCCCCTTAAGCAGCAGCCTATTGTCAGGTTGAGCCTCCACTACATTTCAGGCAAGAGGGGGAATGGGAGAGAGAAAAAACACAAACCAATAAAAATGGAACTCCCAAACAAGCAAGTRAATCCAATTCCTTCTACTGATATCCCCTCAAAGCCACATGACAGCCCCAAAAGTTTTTAGCTAACTGATCGTAGGGCGATTGGTGAGGAGATGCTGACATGTGTCCTTTAATTAAGGACAAACTGTAAATTACATTTCAGGAGAAAAGTGATGCTACAAATGGCACCAGCCCTCCATCTCACCCCAAGAATGCACCATGCAGAAGTGGTAAAAATGCTGAGCAAACTTCTCTAGGAAATCAGCTTGCATCCATGAATCTTGACCTTGGTTTTCCATGAGAGATGTTCCATTCCCTTATGAGGAGAGACTGAGTGAACTGGGCCTGTTTTCTTTGGAGAAGAGAAGGCTGAGAGGGGATATGATTAAGATGTATAAGTTCAGGAAAGGAGAATGCAGGGAAGAAGGGAACAAGCTGTTTTCATTAGTGGCCAGCGATAGCACAAGGGGTAATGGGCATAAGCTGAAATACAGGAGGTTCCATCTCCAGGTAAGGAGGAACTTCTTTACTGTGAGGGTGACAGAGCAGTGAAATAGGCTGCCCAGGGAGGCTGTGGAGTCTCCTTCTATGGAGGTCTTCAAAACCTGCCTGGATGCCACCCTGTGCCCYGTGCTCTGGGTGTCCCTGCTGGAGCAGGGGGGTTGGACTGGATGAGCTCTAGAGGTCCCTTCCAACCTTGAATATTCTGTGATTCTGTGCCAGCCCTTAACATTGAGTATCACCAGGCCAAGAGGACAGGGAAAGATCAGTAGATCTCAGCTTAGCTGCGAGTCACAAGCCAAAAATAAAGTTACAGAGTTTATAATTCAAGATACATTTTGAACAGAAAACACACACACATTTGTAAGTTTGTATCTTTACAAAGGAGGAAATTGCTCCCCCTTCTTTGGCTGATGAGCAGGACAAAGAAATATATGCAGGTGGGAGACTGAGCAAAGCCATGAATTGAGGGCAGGCGAGGAATGGGGGGAGACTGAGAGAAGCCATGAGTTGGGAGGGGGCAAAAGAGCCAGGTGACCTTAGGTCAGAACAGACGGAAGGAATCAGGGAGTTGGGTGTAGGTAGCTGGGAAGGCTAGAACTTCCGAGTAACTTGGCCATTGGGGAAAAGGAGATGGCCATCTCGGCCAGGAAATTAGGATAAAAAGGGGACTGCGTCCTCCAGTAATTTGAGAACTCCCATAGGGATTCAGCTCCCCACCTCCCCCAGTGGATTCTCCCTTTATTCAAATACAGTTTTAGGACTCTTCTGCCTCCTTTTTGCCTCACAGTTCTTGACAGTGAGATTTTCCACACAATTTTGAACAGGATGTTGTTCACATTTCCTTCCCCTGCTCTATACTAGAAACCTAAACCACACTGTGTACCTAGGAACTCTCAGGTGGTGCCAAAGAGCAGACCTTGTCTCACTGATCGCTTTTCCAAATCTAACCACAGCTCAGAACAGTGGATTGTCCCAATATGCTGGCTGCCTAGTGTCTAGATGCCCTCTTCAGAGGAAAATCAATTTTCTTTTAGATAGAAAGCTTCAAACACAAACAACAAACCACATGTACCATATAAAATGCAAGTCAAAATAGTAACTACATGCAASTCTGCTCACATGTTCTCAAAAAATAAGTCATTAATCACATGTCTGCAACTAGGAAAATGAGGGAGAAGGAAGTACTCTGCCAGGCGGGTTAGGGTGGCTCAGGGAAGGGTGCAGCAGTAGCGCAGGGCAGGAACGTGCTGCATGGCTGGGTGGGAAGGCTGCAAGGGAAGGGAGGAAGAAGGAATTCCAGCTGCCTTCCCCTTACACTAGCTGCTTGTGAAAGCACGGCCTTGGTTTGCACCGTGTAGCTTATTTTCTTGCTGAAACCCAGTTCTAAGAAGAACCGTTAATGCTGCTCTAACAGAACTACTGCTTGTGAGAATAAACTAAGCAAACAATTCATCAAATGAAGGCAAAATTTATCCTCTTAAAAAAGGTAATATCAGTTTGGAGTAGTGAATTTAGAAGTTTACATCTTTAACTTTCACAAATAAATGCAGCTCTTGCAGCAGTGCATGGAGCCTTGGACATTTTCTTTCTTGTTTACTACAAAGGCAGTGTATTTTTTTTTTTAAGGCAGTTAAAGAATTGAAAATCTTTCTTCTTCCTTTAGGAAGAGAGAACTGGGCCTGCTTAGCCTGGAGAAGAGACAACTGCAAGGGGACCCCAACCACCCCAACCACGTGCACAAGTATCTGGAAGGAGGGTGTTGAGAATGGGGTCAGACTCTCCTCAGCAGTGCCCCGCAATAGG